GTATTATTATTCAGATGGATAATGATTCTAATGAGATATATTCAATAGTGATATTTAGCCAGTATAACCATACTAGTCATTAAAGACATTATTTAATTTTATCATAATACCATTAGCATGGTCCCCAGACCAGGATCGTTTGACAATTGGGGGGCGGCAAATTATCAAAATGACAAAAAATCATGGAAGATATTGTTTGGCTGTCAATTGCCACAATTGTAATGGAAAATTCTGATAAAAAGTTTTTCCTCGTGACTCAGAAAAGTAATTTTTATACTTTTATGATTGTTATATTAAGCTAATAATAGTAGCTTAGAATATTAATTAAACTAAGTCAAGAATTAAATACTCTAATTAAATTGAACTTAATATTCCACAAGAAAATCCAAGCAAGGCAAAAAATACAAGCTGGCTATCTTCATACCGGGCCCCCAGACTGGAGTCCGGTCAGTCACTATCATGTGGGGGCCATGACCATTAGTTAAATAAATAAAGAAAACAGAAGCATATTCATAAATTTATTTACAAACATTCTATTAGTTTCCATAAAAGGCAGATATAGTGTCTCAACTAACAGGCTTAATTGAATTAAATAAACACTGAAGTATGCTTTAATTATACATAAAGTAATAACATGTTTTGAAAATTATACAATATTTATGAAAAGAAAGTTAACTGGGGTAAGATTTTTTGTCAGTTAACCAAGAATAACTAGAACATAAGTTAAGATTTTGTTCATGCAGAATGTAACTTGATTTATGGCCAAGGTAGTAAGGTAATTTTTTGACCTGTCTGGATTTGTTCCCAGGTACCCAAAGTGGTACCTGGGAACAAATCCAGACAGGTCAAAAAAAATTCCAGGAAATTTTTCATAGGCAGTCTGTCCTGGATATATCAGGCATTCTTTCGCTACCTGAACACCCACCCGATTGTAGGTCAGGCTGAATCAATGGGCTTGATGAATGGGGCATCTTAATGTCTACAGTGTAAAAATAATTTTAAAAAAAGAAAGTAAACCTTTTTAAACATTTTCTCTATAAACTTTATCATCATACGTCAAATAAATATTGGAGAGAATTAAATAGTGTTTTTAAGGAAGTTGGAAGTATTCAAGAGCTAAAAGAATTTTGAATGCTATTGCTGTTAATTGTGCCAAAGCTGAATGAGGATAAATGAATAACATTATTAATATTAAAAGAAATACTCTACTAATAGAGATAATAAGTGATTAAATGACAATTAGTTTAATGAAAAAGTTACATACAATTCTGATGTTAAATCCTGCTTGAGACAAGGACATCATCTGGCAAGTTATAAACCAAGTGAAAGAAAAAGTCCCCATTACAACTTGTCAAAACCAAACTTTGATTTGGAAATTGTTAAGAGTAAATTTTTAACAATATAATTCCTGCATGATATGCTAATAATTATAAGTAAATAAATGTGTATAATGCAATTTTACAAAAAAAATTTTGAAAACATCCCACCGCTGAGCATACCAGTTATAAAATATTTCAAATACTACCTCTGGATATATATGTTTGATCATTTGATTTAGACAATTTGGTCTCATTTTAAATATCTCATTGTCTTATATAGTGTATAAATATATATAGGAATTTTTTGGAAAATTTTAATTATCAAATATGTTGATATTTAAATATTAAAATTGATTGATAGAACATGTTAAATAGAAACTGTTGATAGATTATTAAAAAATTAATTCATGACTTACTGTTTGTTGAAGATAACAAGGATTTGTCATAAATAACAAATCAATGTGTAAACATGAATTGAATATTGGATTAATTAGTAGTAAAACTAAACTGTCAGTTTTTCAAGATATGTTTATTTTAATTCTTAATCAAATTGTAGAATTCAGCATAAAGATATATGATTAAACTGCAATTAAACTATATAGTAAAATAATTATACTTAAAATATATCTGGAAGCAAATCTTGGCCAGAGATGTGCATGACATAACTGTGAGATAACATATCTACATAAGTTGTGGATTTGAATCTCACTCTGAATTAATCTTTTCTTTCAGATCTTTATAAATTATTTAATTACATTTAAAACTAATTTCTAGTTTTGATGAAATTCTGCTTTATTGCAGAGCTAAATTAAAATCTAATGATTCTTAAATACTTTTCAGCTTTCTAACTCATTATTGAGGAAAGTTCAAAAGTATTCAGGACTTGCTGGATTTTAATTTAGCTCTCAACTAAAACAGAATTTCATTAATTACAGAAACTAAAGATTAATCTGATATTTGATTTCTAATCATTAGTCTTAACACAAGATTAAAATGTCCATACTGAAACAAATTTCAACACAGTAATAACAATACCTTAACTGATTGTTTCAACACTTTCTACACTTCTGACAAACATTTTTGACTCACTTCACAAGCCTGCCTCAGGTCTGTCTTTAGTTGAAAATTCAGTATCAAATTAGAATGTTAATTATTCTGTGTTTATTGTTTTTATAAATTTAAAATAAAATTGAACAACAAGCATATAATGGTTAACACTATAATTTGGGATTTTGAACTTTAAACTAAAGACAGACCTGAGACATACTTGTGAAGTAAGGTAAAAACATTTGTCAGAAGAGTAAAATAATGGTGGAACAGTAAGTTAAGATGGCATAACCATCTACCTCTAGAATTCTATAATTTAATTAATTAAAAATTAATTTAAATATATTTTGAAAATCTGCCAGTTTAGATTTATAATTAAATCAAACAATGATGGTCTTATAAAGAGCTTATTAAATTAAGAATCCCAATTTCTTGAATGTCTTTGTATAAAATATAAAATTTTTATTAACGTCTGTTATCCAATTAATTAGTATATGGGGATTATGTATGGGAATTATAGCATTTAAGTTTTTTCTTTTCTCTTTCCTGTTCTGGCATATTTTGGCCAGATGTGGGAAGAATTTCCTGATGTCTATGGTGTGCGAAGGTCTTCTAGATCACGCAAAGAGCCAGAGAGGTATACCACTGTTGGTGAGGTAAGCTCTAGGGTCATAAATGACTACTGAATTATCATTCTTTCTTTATGTATCTATATAAATTTAGTTTTTATATAAATAAGTAATTTTGAATATTTATAGTTTGCATGTTTAAGAATTTCTGCTTTTAGGATGATGATAATATTTTTTATGTGAATTAAATAATTAATTTAATATTAGTTTTAAAAAATGTTTTCAAATATTGCTATTTTGTGGTTTTTTTTAATGCCAAAATATTCTGTTTAAACTTAATTTACAAATTTTATTTTATGAATTTATTTGTGAAAAGTAAATAACTGTGGATGAGTAATAATAATTTACAAGTAATTAATAATAAATAAAGCAAATTTTTTACTGAAGTCAGTCAGTATTATGATAACATATTTATTAATGGTAATTTGCTAAAATTATTTAAAGAAATAAAAAAAACTCAATAAGTACTTTTACCTATATTACATGAAGTGGCTTTAGATCATATTAGAAATAAATTTTAAAGCACATTAAAACATTTAAATATACAGTAATTAATTTTTAAATTTCAGAAATTACATTAAAATATTTTGCAATATTTTAAAACTTTAACAATGAGTATCTCCTTAAAAAATCAAAATTATCACAGTATATTGAATGCCAAATATAAAGCTAAATAAAAATTTGGTCTGTATTGCATCCTTTTCTATTTATTTCAGTATAAACTGTATCTCAATGACAAAACACTTCTATAAGTCTTTAAACCTTCATAAAGTTTTTATAAAGTAACATTTTCATCTTTTTAAAAGGTCAAAAATGTTTATTAATTAATTAACTTGGGTCTTAATGAGTTAAAACATTTATGTTAGTTTAAAGGTGTATAGAAGTGTTTTGTAAAATTAAATAAACAATAGAAATTAAAACATGATGCTTAAATGTCTAAATGAAGAAAGTAATATAAACTAGGTTATGGCATTTTGATATGTTGAAAGAAGATTGTTAATCTAGAACAGTGATGCACAAACTATGGGTTGCAAGAAAATATTTCAGGGTTGCCAAATTCAAAGAAATTTATTTGACAATAAAAAATATCTTTGTTCTTCAACAAGTATCAGGTACCAGTAAAATAGTGAAATGAAATTATATTATTTCTAAAGATAGAACTTTATTTTTTACAAAAGCAATTGTCTGTAATAAGTACTAATACAGACAAATAATGACTTGAGGCGTGCGATTTCCAATACAGATTCTTTGCAAGCACATACCTCACATTGAATTCTTATGATGTAGAATTTTTTAAAAGTATTTTTCATTAAATAAATANTTAATTATTTTACTTATTTTTTAAATATTTAAATTTTTTCCCCTTATTTTGTGTATTTATATTATATAAAAATAGGATAAGTAATGGTTAGCTATTTATTTTTCTGACAGGAAATGTAATGATAATTATTGCACATTCATAGAAACAGTCATTTTATAGTTATTGAACAAAGTAAACTTTTATAAATAGTGACATTTTAGTTTGTTCTGATTTTCAAAATACAATAAATATTGTGTTTTATACAAGAGAAATTGAAATTATACTGTTTGTCAATAGAAGTTTGTAAAGTGGTGATTCCACAGGCATAAAATCTTAAGCAGAAATCAGAAATAGAAATTGTCAGTTATGTCATATTTTGCTTAGTTTCAGTTTTCTGCATTCTGACATAGGATATCAAATACAGATATAAAGGTACTGTATATTCTAGTGGGTTGAAAAGTAATTAAAATTTGATAGTGATGGCATGTATGCAATTGTTTTATTTTGATAATTAAGAATAATTATGCATAAGCAAAGACAAACTTTTTTAAAGGATTATATACAGTATTTTGTAATTGAACAAATGATGTGTAGGTTAGTAACATGTTACATAACTAATAAGAACTTTAAATATTAAAAAAATTCACAATTAAATATTTTAAATGAAATTATTATTTTTTTAATTATTTAGAATAATGAAATGATTTGATAATAGTTATAATTATAATGAAGTTTTTAAGTTTTTCATTTAAATACTAAATAGTAAAAATAACATCAAAATACATTTGTTAGGAATAAAAAGGATTTAAATTTAAAATTTTTTAGGTTATTTATACTGTTTGTTTTTAATAGATACAAACAAAAGTTATTTTTAAATTAAGAATATTAAATTTTAAACTTTTGGAATGAAATGAAAATATAGCATTTCATAGTGAAAATAAAATTTGCACTATGAAATGCTAAATATGAGAATTTTGTGATTTATAAACTAAAATAAACCAGTCATTTTTTGAAGAATGTAAATAAGTTAAATCTGAAACTGTCTTGAATATTTACAACTAAAATAATGTGATATGTTCTCAATAATAATGTATGCATATTGAAAAATTTTATATAGATACTTATTTTGATTCATTCATTATTTTTATTTTAAAGTTTAAATATATTCTATTATTCCACAAATATATTATATTATTCTTTTAGCCATTTAAGTATAGCCTGTGAGTGACTGAAGATATAATTAAAAATATTGATTAATGATACCAAGTAAAAATATGTTATAGAATCTTAATATTTTCAATTGTTATTGATGGTTTATATTTACATACAAAAACACTGAAAATATTTTCAAAAAAATCATAAAAATTATTTATTATATTAATATTTTTGGAATTCTACCCTGAAAACATTAATCTAATTAATATTTTTTTCTATCTCTTTGAAAATATTTCAGCACTTTTGTGTATACATAGAAAATTAATTAATAGAGTTGATAGACTTATTCAGGATAAGTCCTTTTAGAACTAATGATAGGTTTTTACATACAATCATTATTGGTGTCAGGAGCATGTCAGTTTAATGGCACAATGATTATTGACATCAGCCAAGTGGTATTACCTAAATTTGCATGTTTCTACACAAACTGAAACCAATCTATTGGCACCAATAATCATTGCATGTGAATGCCCAGCTTCATTTATTAATAAACTGAATTTTTGTTTGAAACCAAAAAAATTAACCATCTACTAATGTGAAAATATTTAGAAATTAAAAACTTCATTTTCAATGAAGCATTTTTTTGTGATTTTATATTTAACTACTATTCTTTATAGTTTTTAAACAGAAATAAATAAATAAATAAGTTTTATTATAATCTAATAAAATCATTCTTTATATGTTATTGTTAGAAATAATACTCTACAGTTATTAACTTATTATAAATCAACTTCTAACATATGTAAAAAAATTTAGTTTTTAACAAAAATTTTATTGAATTTACTATTATATAATTTCATGTAACACTAAATATTATGTATAATGGTTAAATGAAATTATTAATTTAAGTGAATAGAATAATTAAGTTTAGATATTTTACAGTTTACTTATTTTTACTCTAATATACATGGGATGTTCAAGAAAAATTGGGACCTTTAAAAACAAACACAATATGTTAAAAAATATTTTTATTTTTAAATGTTAATAATTCTCTATATAAATGTACTTCTCATTGATTTACAAATTTTGATATGTTTATAATAATAGATTTTGTCAGATATGATTATGAAAGATACTATCATGAACAGGCCTTATATGTTTTAGTTGTTGATCAGTTAGTTCCAAGACCTTTTAGTTGGTTACAGAGATAAATTACTAGACCTTCAAATACAATCAATATATAGAATATGAAATAGTTTGCCATTATAATTTATAATTTTACAGTTTTATACAACTAATTCATAAATGTGTGTTGTATTGCAGTAATAACATACTTTATTAAACTGAGATATATTCATATCTTAATATATTGTCATTTTTACAGTAGAAACAACTGTTGACTGTGAAATTATAGATAAAAAGTCTTTGTGACTGACTCTTTTTGTATTTTAAAACATTATTTTTAATTATATCTTATAATAAAATTTCTCTGAAAATGTTGATTGAATATATTCCTGTTGTTTGCTTTTGTATTATTATTCAGATGGATAATGATTCTAATGAGATATATTCAATAGTGATATTTAGCCAGTATAACCATACTAGTCATTAAAGACATTATTTAATTTTATCATAATACCATTAGCATGGTCCCCAGACCAGGATCGTTTGACAATTGGGGGGCGGCAAATTATCAAAATGACAAAAAATCATGGAAGATATTGTTTGGCTGTCAATTGCCACAATTGTAATGGAAAATTCTGATAAAAAGTTTTTCCTCGTGACTCAGAAAAGTAATTTTTATACTTTTATGATTGTTATATTAAGCTAATAATAGTAGCTTAGAATATTAATTAAACTAAGTCAAGAATTAAATACTCTAATTAAATTGAACTTAATATTCCACAAGAAAATCCAAGCAAGGCAAAAAATACAAGCTGGCTATCTTCATACCGGGCCCCCAGACTGGAGTCCGGTCAGTCACTATCATGTGGGGGCCATGACCATTAGTTAAATAAATAAAGAAAACAGAAGCATATTCATAAATTTATTTACAAACATTCTATTAGTTTCCATAAAAGGCAGATATAGTGTCTCAACTAACAGGCTTAATTGAATTAAATAAACACTGAAGTATGCTTTAATTATACATAAAGTAATAACATGTTTTGAAAATTATACAATATTTATGAAAAGAAAGTTAACTGGGGTAAGATTTTTTGTCAGTTAACCAAGAATAACTAGAACATAAGTTAAGATTTTGTTCATGCAGAATGTAACTTGATTTATGGCCAAGGTAGTAAGGTAATTTTTTGACCTGTCTGGATTTGTTCCCAGGTACCCAAAGTGGTACCTGGGAACAAATCCAGACAGGTCAAAAAAAATTCCAGGAAATTTTTCATAGGCAGTCTGTCCTGGATATATCAGGCATTCTTTCGCTACCTGAACACCCACCCGATTGTAGGTCAGGCTGAATCAATGGGCTTGATGAATGGGGCATCTTAATGTCTACAGTGTAAAAATAATTTTAAAAAAAGAAAGTAAACCTTTTTAAACATTTTCTCTATAAACT